GAGAGAGAGAGAGAGAGAGAGAGAGAGAGAGAGAGAGAGAGAGATATCTTTGGCCTGGGCATGATAGTGCACACCTTTAATCCCAGCAGTTGGGAAACAAATCTCTGTGAGTTCAAGCCCAACCTGGTCTATATAACAAGTTCCAGGCCAGTTAGGGCAACAGGGAAACCCTGTCTCAAACACACACACATACACATACACACATATACACACACACATACACACATACACATACACCTACACACACATACACCTACACACACACACACACACACCACCCTCACCAAAACAAACAAAATTTAACAAAACACACACACACGAGAGAAAGATCTTTAATAGGGGCTAGTCAGTTGTTCCCAAGACAATTTATAAGAAATGCCAAAGACTAAGCCTGAATGACTTCAACGTTTGTTATCTCAAGTCTGGAGGCTAGAAGTTCAAATCATGTGTTTGCTGAGTCTATCAGTTCTGACCTCTCTCTCTGGCTTGTAGATAGCCGTTCCTGCCTGTGCCTTTACTTAGCCTCACCTCTTAAAGGTTCTGCCACCCCCCATGTCACCAAACTGAAGACTAAGACCTGGAGACAAACCATAGCCAAACAACAGTGTGAAACAAAGCATGAATCGAGACCCTGCTCCCTAAATTTCTCCTCAGTGTAGATGGAGCATTGGAATTAAATTACCAAGCAAAATTGATGGGGGCTGGCAGGTGGTGGGGTGATGCTTGTAAAGACTTCTTGTCTTGTAGATGAGAAGAGCTCCAGTGACACACACCTAGTGAGAGTGCTTCAACTGTTGCAAGCATGTGGTGTAGACAGAGACCCCAGACTCACCACCCTTTTCATTTATAAATCAGGACATACCCTTTTGTGCACCTGAGGGTGGATCACCATATGCTTGGTGATACTGCTAGGAGCTCACTGCAGGGCACTCTGCTCCATAGCCTTGGGCTGTGAGTAGGTGAACCCAGGAGCTCATTTCCTAATGTGTCCTGTGTTGTGCTCAGGAACTCTTTAGGCATCAGAGAATACATGTACTCCTGCCTGACACAGAAATAAAATCCAGATTGGAAGGCAACAGCTGTCAAGGAGGCTACAGAACCAGCTGTCCATCTATTTGACAAATATCTGAGATAATCAATTTAAAAGGAGGGAAGGCTCTTTTTGTTCATGGTTTTAGAGGCTTTGGTCTGTGGTTAGTTTGGTCTGTTATTTGAGCCTGTGATGAGGCAGAATATCATGGTGGGAGCATATGGTTGATGAATCTATGCATTTTATGGTGACTAAGGGGACAGGGGAAAGAGAGAGAGAGAGAGAGAGAGAGAGAGAGAGAGAGAGAGAGAGAGAAGTATCTCAACATCCTCTTCAGTGTCATCCCCAGTGACATGTCTTCTAGGCTCTACTTACCAAAGGTTTCACCACGTGGGTTTGTGGGGACATGTAGGATCTAGACCCTGACAGAGGCCACATTCTGATGCTGTCTGCTTCCATACTTGGTGTGAAGGTTGGGGCGCTGTGGCCTTTCCCATCAGTGCTGTTTTGACATCTCCTCAGTCCTGAGCAACAGCCAGAAGCTTGTGGAACTGGATCTGAGTGACAATGCCCTGGGGGACTTTGGAGTCAGACTTCTCTGTGTGGGGCTGAAGCACCTGTTCTGCAACCTACAGAAGCTCTGGTGAGTCCGACCTGCTTCCCCAGGAGGCTCTGTTGATGGGTCCCTTTTAGAAGCTCTGACTTCAGTGATGCACATGGAGCTAGCAGCTAGCATGTAAATATGAGAATGTGCTCAGTGGCCTGTGTTCTCTGCTGATTTGCCAGTCATTTAGTCACCCAGTGATTGCTATGGGGAAAGCCATATCATATGTGAAGTATGGCAATGGTGTGTGTGTGTGTGTGTGTGTCCCATGTATGTGTATTTATGTGTGTGTCTGTGTGCCTGTGTGGGTATGTACATGTGTGTGTATCTGTGTGTTATAAACAATCAAATAAGTGAAGCCAGCCTTTAAAGTACCTGAGAAAATAAAACCACTGCAATGTACCACTGTAGAAGAATCTAAGACTTCATGATAAGTCCTCAGTTCTCACACTAAATAGAAAAAGTTGTTCTAAAGCAATGGAGACACTTCACTAAATGCTTCTGGAGACCTGAATTCTTGAAAAACAAGAGGTCACTTGAGGGCTAGGGATGTAGTTGATTTGCCTAGATTGCATAAGGCCCTGGGTTTGATCCCCAGCACCGCATTAAACCAGATGTGGTGGCAGAAGGATCATAACTTCAAGGTCATCCTTGGGTACAAAGCAAGTTGCAGTTAGCCTGGGCTACATAAGACCCTGTGTCAAAAAAAAGGGAAAGAAAAAGAAAGAAAGCATTTGATAATGATGGGACCAATTAATAATTCATTACTATGTTTTTCCAATTTTGAAGTTTTGCTTTAATTAATATAACTTACCGGCCTCATGTAGATAATGACAACCGTATTATCACAGTTCTAGTTTTTAGACAACATTTTGTGTCATTAGTGATAAGAAGTGTACATTTATTGTCAACATAAGTGATACAATAAGCTCTAGGATGCCTTCACTGAAACTTCCTCAGAAGCATCATTCCCATTCAACCTTGAATTTCTAAAAAAATTCCAGAAATTAGTTAACTAATAGTGGGTAGAGTAGAAAAGCCTGTGGCATGTTTTCTTGCTTTGTATGTAATCCACAGACTGAACAAATTCAAACACTCCAAAGATACCCATGCCCAGTGTAGATTTGCCACAATGTAGATTTACCACAGAGACTTATCATGTGAACTGCCTTCACTTTACACACCCTTTTTCCTCTTTCCCACCACTATCCATCATTGAAAGCTGCAGAGTAAAAATCTTAAGCATTAACACTCTCAAAAGGTTTGGTCATGACAAATGTGGTAACTAAGTCATAACCCTTAACCCCCCCAACTGGGACTTCTCCCATCAGCTCTCATTTGCCTGGGCAGCTTGGACTTCTAACAGCACTGAAGTGAATGGAGACTAAAGGTTAGTCACCCCATAATTTGTGACCCTTCTCAGTTGTGGAGAAACATCTTGGCAAACTGAGAAGTGTTTGCTTCTCCAACAGTAAATTATGCTTCAGCATAGTAAACTATTCTTTTCAAATAAGGGAGAGTAGAAGAAACCACTCTTCCAGACCCATGGTCTTGTGTTCTTGACTCTGCCTTGAGATACATTCCACACAGCTTTGCCACCCAGGCCCCAGAACAATTCATGTTGAAACACTATGTTGTCAAGGCTCCTGATGGTCTCCACTGTATCCTCTGCCCACTCCATGTGTACAAAGGCATAATCTTTCACAATGTCACATTCAATGACTGGGCCATACTCCACAACTTGGCCTGGAGCCCTTGGTTGGTACAGGTGGGACTGATGTTGTTCCTGTGTAACTTTGTTGAAGTTTTGCTCTTGTTCTTGCTGGCTCCCACAGATATTCACTCCATGCAGCTTTTAGTGGTGCAGGTTATGAATGGCATCGTCAGTGACCATCTTCTTCTCTATGTGCACAAAGCCATAGTTTTTAATGATGTCACATTCCAATACCTTCCCATATTGCTGGCAAAGTGAATGGATCTCTTGCTTTGTGGCCTCTCAGAGTAGATTTCCAGTGAACAGCTTCACCATCCTGACAAGAGCCTCTGGGTGGCGGCGGCGGTGGTGGTCCTGTGTCAGAGAGAGCCCTACAAAATGAAGAAGGCTGTTTGAGCCTTGGTGTGACTGGGGCTCATTACCATGGTTTTTATAGAACACAAACCCACAACGAACATAATAAATAAACACAAAAATAATAAAACTAGACAAGTGTTGGCAAAGAACTTGGACCACTGGAGCTTTGTGCCTCACTAGTGGGAATGTAAAGCAGCAGTCTCCACTGTGAGCAGCATGGTGACTCACACAACTGAGCACAGAAATGCATTTGAGCCAGCAATGTGCTTCTGTGTGTATATGCCAGGCACACAATTTTGCTAAGTTGCCCAGGGAAGCCTTTAGCTTGTGATTCTCTTGCCTTAGCTGGGATTGCAGGCCTGTGCCACCAGGCTGGCTAAAATTGTCCTCCTAAAAGTGATGGAGATAGTATATTTTATACATACATTAAAATATTTTTACATATATTTGTTTGTTGTATCTGTGTATATGCATGAGTGTGCCATGGAGTGTGTGCAGGTCAGAGGACAACTTGTGGGAGTTGGTTCTCTTCTTCCTCTATATGGGTTCTGGAAATTAAATTCAGGTTGTCAGGCTTGGCAGCAAGCACTTTTACCCACTGAACCTTCTCCTTAGCCTTTCTCTATATAATTTACTTCAATAAAAGTGAATGAAGCAAGTGGGGAATATGTTCTAGTGGAGGGATGGGCTTGCTTACTTGTTATTACACTAAACAGGGATGGGGATGAGAGTTGTGTGGTGCTGGAGTGCAAGGCTGAGGTGAGGGATGTAGCAGCAGGTACAGTCTCCTACCATATGGTGCAGAGTGCCTGAGAGACCTGATTGACTTTGTCCTCTCTGCATGAAAGGCTGGTCAGCTGCTGTCTCACATCGGCATGTTGTGAGGATCTTGCATCAGTCTTGAGCTCCAACCATTCCTTGACTAGACTGTACATTGGAGAAAATGCCTTGGGAGACTCAGGAGTTCAGGTTTTGTGTGAAAAAGTGAAGCAGCCACAGTGTAACCTGCAGAAACTGGGGTAAGTCTTTGTGTCTTAGTGATAAGTTAACCATTTCTTCTGAGATGGTGTATTCATAAAAGATGAATGGGGACCACTCTAGAAGAGGTAGCCCAGCTGGAGCTGAGGGTGAGAACATCAGTGGTGTAATTCAAAGTGGTTTGAAGCATTAAATCCATGTAACTCACAACTGGGATTATGCATTGACGATTCAAGTAGCCACAGGTTTAACCAATGGTGGATCAAAAATATTAGAAAAAACTGTGACTATACTGGAGCCATATGACGCTTCCCCTGTGTCATCATTCCTTAAACAGTACAATATAAAAGTTATTTTTATAGTGTAACAGCTTACATTGTTTTAGGTATCATAAGTAATCTAGAGATAATTTAAAGGCCACAGGAGAATGTGAAGAGGTGATATGTAAACATTATGTCATTTTACTTAAGGGACTTGAACATCTGCAGATTTTGGTACCCGTTGGGGTGTCTTGGAGTCAGTTCCTTTAAGAACGCTGAGGATAGCTGTTTTACTGCTGATGAGGCAAGCTCTGCTGACTTTTAATGGTATAACTGGAGCTTTTCAGAGTTGGAAGAAACCTTAGAGGTTGTGCAGCCCAGTTTCCTCCACTGAGTGAAAAACTTGAAGAACCTGTTTCTAACATGTGAACACTTTGAGAATGCAAGTTACTCCTGCAAAGCTATCCTCTGCACTGTATTCTTATCCCCATGCAGCAGCTTCCAGCTTCCAGTGCCAGTGCTCTACGCAGGAGTGCTAATCTCCAGATCCAGGAGAGAAAACCCATACTTACGTGGCACAGATGTCTCTAAATCCTCAGCTGGACTGTATCTCAGCATTACCACAGTCTAGTCATGCTTTCTCAGGTAACAGCTAACTTGAAACCCAGCATGCAGACCTGCATATCCTGTGGCAGGCACTCTGCTTTTAGTGTGTGATTTCCTTATGTTTTAGCAGTTGCATCCATCTTACAATTTATTTTTTGAGACAGGGTCTCACTGTGCAGCCCTGACTGGCCTAGAACTCATCATGTGGACCCAACTGGCCTTGAACTCTTAGAGAGTCACCTGTCTCTGTCTCACGAGTGCTGAGATTAAACATGTGTATCACCATACCTTGAAGTCTTTTAATTTTTAAAAACATTTATTTATTTATTAATTTATATGTGCATGTGTATATACCACTGTGCATATGTGGAGGTTGAGGACAACTTGTGGAGTTGGTTCTTTCCTTCCACCTTTATGTGGGTTTCAGGGATTGAACTCAGGTTGTCATGCTTGGCGTCAAGCACATTTACCTGCTGAGCCATCTCACTAGCCCCCATATTAGGCTTTTGAGGTAGGAATTCTGCAGCAAGTGAAAATACAGAATCCCAACCAGTGGCCAATGCACTAGCTCTTCCATGGTCTTTGCATGAATTAGCTCAATTGACCTCAGAAAAATGGAACAAAGTTGTTATCAATGCCTGTAAGTGAAGGTATAAAAATGAGATTAGTGTGCCCTCACATGGTTATATCTGCAATTACACTCTCTGCAGGACTTCAGCATTCTCTCTTCACCTTACCCTCCTCTTAAATCAGCTAGGTATGCTTGAATGTTGGTTCTGTCAATATTTGCTATAAGTGAAAAAAGCAAACGGTATATGACTTTGTTCACATTACTGATATACATGGCAACTAGGTAAGCATTTAAAATACAGTATAGCAGGATGATGCTGGAGAGGTGGTATTGGTAGAGAGCTTGCTTAGCATGCATAGTATCTTGGTTTCTATCCCCACTATGGAGCAAACTGGGTATAGTGATGCATGCCTGTAAACCTAGTACTTGGAGGGTGGAGGAAGGGGGATCAGAAGTTTAAGGTCACCCTCAGTCACATTGTGAGTTTGAGGCCACCTTGGGTTACATGAGACCCTGTCTCAAGAAAACCCTCACATGCACCAAGATGGATTTCTTCGTAAGGAGTAATCAATTTTTCCATAATTAACAAGCAACTTTAGTCATAAACTCTGTTGCCCCATAGCTTCTGGAGTATTCTTACCTTTTCTATTTGAAGACCATTTCTAGTCCTTGGGTATGTTCTGGTCTTTGCTGGAAGTCTTTCAGTCTTTTCTCTGTGCTGTTTGCAGAGGAGCTTTTGGCTGTTCTTTTCCAGAGAGGAGAGCTCAGCAGTCTCTGGCTTTGCTTTGTTGGTCCCTCCTCTTTCCCCCTTCCATCCTGCTCATTCTGTCATCTTCATTTGGATTTGCCCTGGGAGAGGAGAACGGCAAGAGGATCGAGCTTGCTCTTTTCTGTGGTCATCATTCATACACACTGTCTGAATGAATTCACATCGTTTCTATTTTCCATGATTCTTAGATAACAGAGAGTGAGGAAAAAAAAAACACTGCTTCGAAGAACTCAGGTTAAGAATCATGGTCACAGGAAATACTGCTGTCAAGACTTAGTTGATGATGTCACGTATGTACTTCTAAGCAGGACAGACACAACCGTAGGTTTTAGAACTACATGGTCTTTCTGGGTGTTTTCTTTTCTTGTCACTGTAACACACCTTGCTTGGCCCATGTGCTTCCTGACCCTGTCCCTTCTCTTGCTGCATCACTGTGAGTCACACTGAGTGACTAGAAGTTATAACCCTAAGTCTTCATCCGTTCTCTGCCACACACCTGCTTTCTGACTTTAGGGAAACATAAGCTTTCATGACCTCCAATTTCTAATCTGTGAAAGGTATATGGTAGTTATGGTTACACTGCTACTTAGCCAGGGTGGTACTAGAATCAAGAGGGGTCTCTGCGGTGTCAAGGGATTATTAGTCAGGGGATTCAGGGGGTGTTTCTAGGAGAGTTGGTGTGTGTGGGGCATCCATTGCCAGAGGGACTAATCCTAGCAGAGCATCTGCTGAGACCATAATTCATTTCTCCTGTGGGATTCAGAGACAGGCAGCCATGCTCCCCTCAGATTATATCCACAATGCTGGCTTCTGACTTTTAAGTTAGAAGATATAGCTCAAGGCTGCTGTGCAATGTCTGGGAAAAGCTGTATGCTGAATGTTCCCTCTGTTCTTCCTACAGCTTGGTGAATTCTGGCCTTACCTCACTTTGTTGCTCAGCTCTGTCCTCTGCAATAAGAACCAACCAGAACCTTACACACCTTTACTTACGAGGCAACACTATTGGAGATGTGGGGATCAAGCTCCTCTGTGAGGGACTCCTGTACCCAGGCTGCAAGCTACAGATGCTGGAGTGAGTCCCTGTGTTGATGGGAATATGTGGTGGCAAAGCAAATCTTGGTGAGAACTGACCATGGGGAAATATGTGTCTGAGGGGTGACAAGTCTTCCTGGGGCTCAGTACAGAATTGTGGGACTGCCAGGACTTTGTCTAGCCAGTATAAAGCTTAAAAGTTGGGTTTTTAAAAAAGTATTCTTGCCACCACAAAAACCAAATGGATATGGCATGACACTGGTATTTTGTGGAAATTTGGGGGAAGACATAGTATTAAAAAATCAATTAGTAAACTTCTGTTACTACTTTTGTCTGTATAATCCAGAGCACTTGGGAAAGACACAGGTAAAGAATAGAGGAAAACTACATTGATGTATAAAGCTGCTTCTAGCCAGTCGGTCCTTTTAATGCAAGTGAACCAGCACAGGCTAAGGTCTTGGAGATCTGGAGACCTGGATGGCTGGGACACTTTTTTAAACATCATTCCTTTTCTTACAGACTAGACAACTGTAGCCTTACCTCACACTGCTGCTGGGATCTCTCCACAGTTCTGACCTCCAACCAGAGTCTTAGGAAGCTGAGCCTAGGCAACAATGATCTCGGCGATTTGGGGGTGGTGATGCTCTGTGAGGTCCTGAAACAGCAGAGCTGCCTCCTCCAGAGCCTACAGTGAGTATGCTCTGCAGATGGAGAGTCTTTTCATACCCAATTAAATCTTGAGTGGTCTAAATATCTGAGGTACCTAGAACAGAATGAGCAAGGACTAGGAGAAGATTCATCTTTAGACATAGCCAGAGCAGATAGATAACAAGTGGTCATAGAAGCTACCATGAGCTTGTAGTTCTCAGAACAGGAGGTCACTGGAAAGGACAACACTGGGGATACTGATTGAGCCCTAAGGGACCTTCAGGACCAAGTGAGAGGCCCAGGCTCGAAATAGCCTGGAGAATCTTGGATACAGTCAGTCTGTTTTAGCTTGTGGTAATAAAAGCCTTAGACCATGTACTGTAAACAACAGGAATTTTTCTGCCCCCATAGCTCTAGAAGCCCAAAAGTCCAGAATCAAGGCTTCAGCTGATACAAAGGGTCTGCCTCTTCAGTTGCAGAGAGGGCTGCTATCTCACTGTGTTCTCATACTCATGCAGGCAAAGATGGAGAGAGAATATACTCTGTTATAAAGGGCCCTCATCTCATTAGAAGGCCCCACTTTTATGACTTCATCCAACTGTAATCACCTCCTGATTGCCTCATCTCCGTATATCATCACATTAGGCAATAGAACTTCAATCTAAACATGAAGCCCATAGCACGATCAAATGATGCAGGACAAGTGATTCAGTTCCTTAGTTAACTTCCAAGGGGAACTTTAATAAAGAGGAGGAATTCAGTACTTGAACTGGGTACAGTAGCTCCTACCAGCAATTCTAGCATGCAGGAAGTGGAGCCAGAAGGATTTCTAACTTGAGAACAGCCTCATTGCATAAAAAAGTATGAAGACTACTTGAGAGGCCACCAGAAAGTGCAAAGTGTAGATTTATGGGTGATCTTGATTAAGTGAACATTTTGCAAACATATTTCTAAGACAATTGAAAAAATGTAAACATAGACTGGACATTTATATTAAGGTATGAGAGGACATTGTAGTTTTGTTACTCACTGGGTGTCACACAGTGAAATAATTATAACTACATGAAATCAAGTCAGCTGCTGAAGTAGGTGTCGGAGGCCAGTAGATGAAGCATAGTTGGCCATGAACTACTTCAACTGTTGAACCTGAGAATGGACACTTGGGGATTCATTGTACTTTTCTTTCTACTTTCATACATGTTTGAAATTTCTAAACATGAAGAATAAAAATATAATAATCTGGGTGCACACCCTGATAGCCCCAGCTTCTCAGGAGGCTAAGGTAGGAGGATTGCTTGAGTCTAGGAGTTTGAGGCCACTTTGGTCAATACAATGAGGCTTCTTAAAAAAATGGACAACGGGGAGAGAGAATCTTAATGCATCTCTCAACCCTCATCAGTGAAGCTCCCTCATGCAACAGAGGGCCATGAACACAAAAGGACACAAATTGTCAAAGTGTAGAGAATAAGTCTGCAGAGTGTGGGTCCTTGGATAGGACATCTATATTAAACTCCATTCACCCATGGCTCAGGGACTATTGTGGAAGAGGGGGCAGAAAGATTGCAAGAGCCAGGGAGGAGGTGCATGACTATGTGGAAATAGAGTCCTATAGGCTCTTGGGACCCAGTAATGGTGTCAGCATGCACAAGACCCATGCAAACTCAAGCAGACAGAAACCTAATATATAACAATGGAAATGGGCAGCAGGGCCCAATCTTAGCTGAAGAGCTATTGGCAGCTGATTACTGCTGGGTGAGGAAGAGCTAATCTTCTTAAAGGGAGGGACTCTAGATAAGCTGCCTAGACCCCAGTGGATGAACTTGCACCAAGGGACATCTGGGGACACTAAGTTGACTAAATAGGCCTTAACACTGACAGAATACATGAAATCCAGTGGGGGGAGCTGTAGGGGAGTACACATGGGGAAGGGGTATAAAGATGATTAAGATGTTCTGTATGAAATGCACAAAAATTCAATAAAAATTTACAGAAAAATGGAAAAACACATTATATGTGACGCTCAGCATCTCAGAACATAGAGATGTGTGAGATTAAGGGCAGTGGGATGAGATTGTGTGTGTGTGTGTGTGTGTGTGTGTGTGTACCTTTGAGACAGTGCTCTTTTTTATTTTGTAAAATATTTTATGTGTATGAGTATATTGCCTGCATGTATGTGAGTGCACCTGTGTTGTGCAATGCTGTGGAGGTCAGATTCCCCTGGAACTGGAGTTAAGGATGGTTCGTAGCTGCCATGTGGGTGCTGGGAATCGAACCTGGGTCCTGTGCAAGAGCAGTCAGTGTTCTTAACCACTGAGCCATCTCTCCAGCCCTGAGACAGTTATCTTAAATTGCCCAAGCTGGCCTGGCCTCAGACTTGCTATGTAGCCCAAGCTGTCCTTGAACTCATGGCAATCCTCCTGCTTTAGCCGCCTGAGTGCTGAGATTATAGGTCTATACCACTACACCCACTGAGCTGACATTTTTTTTTGGTCTTTTTTGAGACAGGGTCTCCTTGTAGCCCCAGCTGTCCAGGAACTCATGATGTAGACCAGGCTGGCCTTGAACTCACAAAGATCCGCCTGCCTCTGCCTCCCGAGTGCTGGGATTAAAGGTGTGCGCCACCATGAGCTGACATTTTTAAGGCCCAATACTCAAGTTTTCTGAAGAGTTTAACACAAAGCTTTCTCTTTGCTTTTACAGGTTGTGTGACATGTACTTCAATTATGAGACAAAATGTGCCTTAGAAGTGCTTCAAGAAGAAAAGCCAGAGCTGACCATTGTATTTGAGCCTTCTTGGTAGCTTGGCAACAGGGCTGCCAGATGCCAGGGTCACTGCCCCATTGCTGCTGTGCACACAGGTGGAGAGAACCCACCTCTACCATCAGAACCAGAGCCAGTCTCTTCCAGTCCAGGGCCTGGAGCCCAAGCAAGTCTTTCCCCAGTGAAGACACTGGTAATGTGAAACCTGCAGAGGCACAGCTCTTATCACAGCCTCAGCCGAGAGGGTGTTCCCTCTTGACTTCATGAGATCAACTCCTAGAAAACATAGTTTTTGTCTTTTCCCTCTCTTGTGCAAACATTCCTTGACCTACCTTTCTTCTTCTGTTTGTTTTGTCTATATTTGCTCATATTACCATCCCTCCGTTTCTATTAATTGACCATAACACACAACTAGTTGGCTGTATGTTATATTGCAAGTTTGTGGAAGCTACTTATTTATTTTTAATTTTTATAACATTTTTATTTTTTAATTGAAAATAATCCATGCTTAGGTGAGTTACCTGAAAATTCAGATATGTATAAAACCTTTTTAAAACAATTTATTGATTTAAATTGTTTCCTTAATTAAAAAATATAGAATTCTTTTAAATTATTTATTCAAACTACTAAAATACATTTCCTTACACATTTAAAATATCTCTTTGCAAAAATGATTTAACTGTGGTTAGTGGGGAAAAAAATCACCTTCTCTTTGTGGGGGAAATTTCATTACCCAGATTCTGGAGGAAGAATTTCAGCTCTTCTAGCACAGAAGTTAACATCACACAGTGGAGGCTTTAGAGAAGTGGGAGCCCACACTCTCAACTAGAAGTATTAGGTAGAAAATGCATCTTGCCTGTGGTTGATAAAAACTTATCTTACGTTTATCCAGTTTGAAGAGCAGTTCCCCTAGCAAGCTACACATAGCGCTAAGTCATGAATTAATTTCTTCTGTACACAGGAACAACTTTTGAAGCACACAGTATTACTCAGGATGGGAATATTGCTTCCTCTGTCTGATGGTCACCTCCAGACCATTGCTATGAAAGTGTGACTGGTAAACTGTTAATGTGAGGAGGCTATTCAAGGGTGAGGCAATTATGCCACTTCTCTTTTTAGAAAACTGACTTTTTTTTTTTTTTTTTTTTTTTTTATTTTTGAGACGGGGCCCCCTTGTACCCCCAGCTGTCCTGGAACTCACTAGACTAGGCTGGCCTTGAACTCACAGAGATCCACCTGCCTCTGCCTCCCAAATGCTGGGACTACAGGTGTGTGTCACCACGCCCGATGAAAACTGACTTTTTAAAAATTCATAAGCTTATTTTTTTCTTAAACTTCTGATACTCCTTCTATTTCCCCAGTCCTGGGATTATAAACATTTGCCACCATGCCTGGTTTATGTGGCACTGGAGATTTGTGTTAGGCAAGTACTCAACCAATTGAGCTAAATCCCCCTAATAAGCCCAACTTGATAAAGAAAACTATGTGGTTTATAATTCAGTGAAAACTCTTTGCTTGCTTTGGAATATACGTGTGTGTGTGTGTGTGTGTGTGTGTGTGTGTATGTGTTAATAGTGATTGAACTCAGGGTTTCACAGGCAAACACTCTAGTACTAAGTTATACCTCAGTTCAAGTCTAAGACTTTTCAGTAACATTTATCTATACATTTTCTTTCTACATGATGGTAAAGTGAACTGTGGTGGATTCCTTGCTGGAATCTACCCAAGTTTGACATGCTGAGTAAATAATGTAATTGAAACCACATGAATGGAACCAGACTATGCTATGCTAAGTGAAATAATCTAGGTGTAGGAAGAGAAATAGTGCATCTTCTTAGTGTAGAAATGAAGAAAAGTTGATTTTTATTAAGTTGGGAGTAGAGTAGAGGTCCCTAGAGGCTAGGTAGGGGAAGAGGTAAGGGGAACAGAGAGAAGACGGCTAAGAGATCTCATGATCATCATAGCTTTACCCTCAGGCAATTTATAAAAGGAAGAGCGTTGGCTTACTGAGGGTTAGAGCCCATAATGGCAGGGGAGGCATGGAAGCAGAGGAGGCCAGAGCAGAAAGATGAGTGATCACAGCTTCAAGCAAACACAGGAAGAAGAGAGCAACTGGAAATCCAGCAAAGCTTAAGAACTCTCAAGGCCAGCCCCCAGTGATGTGTTTCCCCTAGCAAGTCTCTAAATCTCCCAAAACAGTGCCACTAACTGGGGACAAAGTATCCAAATACTTGGAGCCTATGGGGGACATTCTTATTCAAACCCCCACAATTATGTACCAGTTTGCTATATATCAACATGTTTTAACTTAATTGGCTGCAGGCCTGGCTTACTTGGCTCTGCAGGTGAGAGTTCCCAGCTGTGGTCTCCCCAGCATATTCAGACTTACAGCTGATGGACTTCTTGGTGAGTCATGGGATCTGAGAGGATTGCTAACTGGAGCTGCCAGGAGTCTTAGAAATTTGTCTAGGGAGATCTAGAGAATCTTATACTATATTCTAGTGACCAAGCAAATCACTAAGCCTAGCCCTCACAGAATGAAGAGAATTTGGGACTGTCAAATTAGCACATCTATTTTGGGAAAAAGTTCTCAACACTCTCAAATGTGTCCTAGGATTAGATCATATCATTATATTGCTTTATGCACTGATTACCTTTCTTTGTAATTCATGCCATCCTGATTTTATTGACATGTCTTGGATTTATGTCACTGTTTAGGAATTCTTCTACATTACTCTGGGATATAAAGAGTGGTGAGCTGCTGTACAGTCACAGCTCTATGGAAGTCCATTGGAAGAAAACACTTTGTTGTTTTAGGAATTGCAACAGTCATTATTGTTCACATTTCTTAAATTCTTCACCTCTGTGACTTGTACTTCAGTTCTGATGTTACTGTGAAAAACACTTTCTTAATTTTCCTCTTTTCTTAATTTTTGTGCATTTATTGTTATTAACTAGGCTTGGTTATATTAATGTTTGGCAACTCATCAAGGCAACAGAATAGAAACAAAAGGCTACGTATAAATGAATCTTCAACATGAAAAACAAATGCAAGAGTCTGGGGCGATAGCTCAGTGGTTAAGAGCACTTGCTGCTCTTGCAGAGGACCTGGGTTCAGTTCTTAGTACCCACCCACCCACATGGTGGCTTACAATTGGCTGTAACTCCAGCTCTAGGGGATCCAACACCCTCTTCTGGCTCTCATGAGTACCTGTAACTTGCATGCACATACCCATCCCCCCACATATATACATAATTTAAAATAAAATAAAAAATTTAAAAAGTGTCTAATTAACTGGGTGTGGTGGTATACACGTTTAATCCCAATACTTGGGAGGCAAAGAGAGGTGAATCTCTGTGAGTGTGAGACCAGCCCAGTTTACATAGGAGTTCCAGGCTAGTCAGGGCTACATAGTAAGATCCTGTCTCAAAAACAAAAACAAGGGCTAGAGAGATGTCTTAGTGGTTAAGAGCACTGGCTACTCTTGCAGAGGACCAATATTTGATTTCCAGAACCCACATGGCATCTAACAACTGTCTATAACTCCAGTTTCAGGGGATTTGACAACCTCTTCTGACTTCCAGGGTATTGTGAGGCATGGGTACACTTACATGCAGGCAACACATTCACATGCATAAAATAAAAATAATAAATAAAATATTTAAAAACAAAACAACAACAAAACAAAAAATGGTCTAATTAAAAAAAAAAAGACTAAATGCTAATACAAGGTGCTGGCAGTGGTTCCAGTTCACTGAAGGAGGCAGTTGGTAGCATGTTTGTGCAAATTTCAGCTCCTTTGGCTGCTGGATATTTTAATGATAACTAGAGAGAGAAATCTTTAAATGATTGATTCTTACATGAAAAGGGAAATTATAAAAATGGGCACACTGTAAGGATTGGTACTATACATATTGGTGTACATTAGTACACTTTGCGTTTTGCCTGTGTCATGGAAATCTTTTAGCTATAGTAATTACCTTGACCATTTCTTGTGTGTGGTTCTGGGGACCAAAGCCAGGTCCAGGCTAGGTAAGAACCCTACCACTGAGCTAAACATCTTCAACCCAAATTTGTTATTTGAAGTTTTATTGTCCTTAACATTAATTGTATTTGCCACTTGTATTCTCCGCTGGAATATGCCCTTCTCCAAGGTGAGAGGTTATGCTAGATTTGTTTTGACCCATGGATTCTAACAGGCAGTCTTTTAGGTCCACAGTAGAAAGATTTGCAGTAGTTTTCAGTAAGTGGTTGGAAAAATTTCTATATAAGGAAGCTTGAACTACTGGAAGAAGAAGACCATCTACGGTTACAAAAAGGGTGCTGCTTACTTTATTCTTGTGATATTAAAAAACATTTTAAATTTACGGAGATTTCATTCCATGGAGAACAGATATTTATCACAAGTGAGATAAGATTGTTTCAAGTTCATACTGTACACATTTTGGAATGACTACAAAGGAAGAAGGAAGCTTAAAAGAGACAGATGGGAGAAAATAAGAAGAAAGAGGAAGAAGATAAAAAGGAAAGAATCAGGAAACTAGAAATTAAATAATCTAGCCAATATGAACACCAAATCATTTAAACAGTTCTTGAAGAGGTATGGCCTCATGCTTTTTGAATTGACCTTCCTTGTAGATTTGGGCTGTTTGGCTCTTTGGCCACTTGGAAGGTCAAGTATTTTTGGATGGGGAAGGGTTTTGAAGCTTTCAAATCTCTCAAAGAACATATTGTCCAAGCACTTTCTACAGTACTAGGAATTGAACTCAGGACCTTGCACATGCCAGGCAAGTGTTCTACTGTTGAGCTACCTTCCTACCCCCAGAATCCTTGCCCAAGGTTCTGCAATTCATGGGGCTTTCCCCAGGTTAGACTTCACCTTCCACAGAGCCTCCCAATCCTTGCCAGAAATCTTTTGAGAGCCCCCTTCACATCTTTATTCCTCAGGGTATAGATGAAAGGATTGAGGGTGGGAGTGATTATTGAATAGAAGAGTGAGATAAACTTGCCCTGCTCTTGGGAGTAGCTGGACGGGGGCTGCAGGTACATGTAGATGGCAGGTAGGTAGAAGAGGGAGACCACCAGCAGGTGGGAAGAACAAGTCCCAAAGGCCTTGTGCCGACCCCTGGAGGACTGGATCCTGAACACAGCCCGAGCAATGAAGCCGTAGGAGAGGAGGATGAGAGCCAGGGGGACTAGAACGAAGAAGGCTACCAGCACAGCCAGTGTAGCATCATTCACCACAGTGTCAGCACATGACAGCTTGATCATGGCTGGTACCTCACAGAAGAAATTGTTCAGCACCTGCCTCCCACAGAAAGGTAACTGCACCGTCAAGACAACCTGAACCAGGGAGTTGCCAAAGCCGCTGAGCCAGGCCACAGCCACAAGCCGCTGGCAGAGTGAGCGATGCATGATGATGGCATACCGGAGTGGTTCACAGATGGCCACGTAGCGGTCCAGGGCCATGGCAGCCAAGACAATGCACTCGGTGCAGCCCAGCCAGTGGAAAATGGCATACTGCACTGTGCAGCCACAGTAACTGATGGTCTTCTGGGAACTGCCCATGTTGACCAGCATCTGTGGGACAGTGGTGGTGGTATAGCAGAGGTCCAAGAAGGACAGGTGGCTGAGGAAGATGTACATGGGGCTCTGGAGCTGAGGATCTAGCCAGGACACCAGGATGATGGAGATGTTTCCCAGCATGGCTAAAATGTAGGACAGTAGAAGGACTACAAAGAGAGGGAGCTCTAGCCATGGCCTGTCAGAAATGCCCAGGAGGATGAAGTCCTTTGGGGAGTCCCCCAAGGAACTTTGGTTGTCACTTCTCATGTTGAGGCATCTTCTGGCAGCTGTGATGAGTCAAGAGAGTTCCAGTGAATAACTGTAAATAGAAAGACTAATCAGTTTCACATTCTGTGTCTTCTCAGTCTCTCACTCTGACCTTAAGCCAGTCAGTCTTTCTAAACTTCAACTCCTGCATTTGTTAAAATGAAGGAGGGTACTTGCTTCAATCACAGATCTTGGAGAAGATAAAGGGGCTTCATTTGATAGCCTTCCTTATTAATGTGGGCTTCGTTTGAATTTGTTCATGCCCATCATGGCTTCCAGTGTCACTGCAATTTTGACTTCTCTTTACAAACACAGTGATTGAGAAGTGCCTATTTTCTTAGACTTTTTCATTTTGTCTTTCGGAGATATTGGCAAAGGAAGGGAGGGACATGAAATAAAGCAGGAAGAAGGACTTTGTAAGCAGCCAGGGACTTTCTTGATATGACCACGGCCTACTTACCTCTGATGGCTGACACCAGACTCAGTCACCTTGACGAGGTGTCCCAGGCTTTCAGGACCACAGCAAGCTCTTGCCCTAGGGACTGCTCATACTAGAATCTCTGTCACTCACTTTGGCAGTAAAAATAACAAGGTTCCAGGCTCTCTGAGAACCTGGAGTAGCCAAGAAATATGATACTCCAGCTCCTGACTTGTTCTTGATCTCTCATGAGGCCCTAGAGTATACAATTGTGCACGAGAAGAAAGCCATGGAGTTGTTCGATGAAAGATCAGATGGCCCTAGAGTGTTAATATTTGTCTCATACTTAGAGTGACATTTAAATTCAGGTACAACATTGTCAAGCAGGAATCATCTCCTAGAGATAGATACCACAACCAGCTTGATTTCTGGGTGCCACAGGTAGCATGAAACACATGAGCTGCCATCGCTGACTCACAGAATTGAGGCAGGAGATGGTAGGAAGTTAGGGTTAGGGATTGGCCCCAGTTAAGACTCCAACTACCTGGAGACCCCAACAACTGGACGAACACCCCGATGACAATTGCAGATGCTCCATGGGTCAAAGCCCCTCTGCTTGATGACCTTTAGATAACTATCCTAGTTCATGATGGGGCTCCAGTGCTGAGAAAATATCTGTCATCTTCTATAACTGAGGGAAGACAAGCCACCTTTTACCCCATATCCACTATTGTTTTCTTTGTTCTATAATCATTTGTAAGTGTTACTTAAATAGTATCTGCTCTTAGAACCCCTCCCACTTTGGGAGTTTCTTTTTTCTTCTAATAAACTGTTTGTTCAACCACTCAACTCTTAGTCTTAGAGTTTCATTCCCCATCATCCACAAGACACAATCCCAGGCTCACAGCACTTTGCAGCTGCAACTGTAGCCTGCTGTGTGCAATACTACAAAGTCACTCTGCAGAGCTCCAACTTCCTAGTCTTTCCCAAGTTCTGCACACTTTCAGGTTCATTATGGGGATGCAATGCTTCAGGATAAAACTGAAAATAAATCTGACATATAGGAGTTTACAGAGGATTCATTTTAATTCCTGATCTGGTAAAATTAATGGAGATCTCTGCAATTTAGATATTGCGATAAGCAATATACCTCCCCCAGCTAATATTTCTAAGAATTCTGCTATTTTAAAATAGCTCAAACCTTAAAGTTTCAACACATGAGCGCTAATTGTCTCTGCTCTGTATGTAGTTCCAAACTACATGCTCTTTGCCGTAATATTCTGAATATGTTTGTGAAACATTCAATTATTGCATTTTCTGCCATTATTCAATTAAAAATACTCAAAACTCAAAAGAATTAGCTTCAAGGAATAGGATTGATTCCTAATGAGCTCTGAACCTTTGTTTTCATCACAGTGAGCTACAATAGGGCATAGCACTTAAAAAAAAAAGACAGGGACTTCCTTGGGCTGCACAGCCTCCCATGTCCTTGTTCCAGCACCATCCCTGGGTAAGTCCAGCGTGCCCAGTGCACCTTGACTCCCCCAGCCTCTTTCACCCTCCCAGCTCCCCTGCTGAGTCTGTCCTCCTAGGCTGGGTATAGGCTCCTTTCTTGTCTGGGCATCCCAGACACTGGGGCCAACCTCTTGGTCCAGAGCCATCACTGCTTCCTGATCCTGTGCATCCAGACCAACCCAGTTCCTCCCTACTGTCCCTAGGAACCCTCTGGGCCTGGTCTCACCCTCATCACCCTTCCCTGGTGTGCTGGATAGCTTTAGTGTTAACTTGACACACCTGAGTTGTGGGAGCCTCAGTCGGGGAATTGCCTCTATTGGACTGGCCTGTGGCCATGTCTGAGGGGCATCTTCTGGATGAGTGATGTGGGAGGGCCCAGCCCACTGTGGGTGGTGCCACCCCTGGGCAGGTGGGCCTGTGTTGCATAAGAAAGCAGGCTGAGCAGGGGCCAGGAAAGCAAGCCAGTAAGCAGCATTCCTCCATGGCCTGTGCTCCAGCTCCTGCCTCCAGGTTCCTGCCCTGAGTTCTTACCTTGGGCTCCTGGATGAACTATGACCTGGGGTAAGTAAGCTAAATAAACCCTTTCCTCCCCAAGTTGGTAGTGGTCAGAGTATTTTGTCACAGCAATGAAGAACAAACTAAGACAGAAATTGGTACCAGAGAGTGGGATATTGCTGTGACAGACCTGACCTTGGTGTTTTTGGGAGGACTGTGGAAGTGCTTGGAACTTTGGGCTGGAAAAGTTATTGTGTGCTCAGAGTTTGTTTAATAGACATCTACCAAATATTCCACCCAAGCACCAAAGAATATATTTTCTATTCAGCACCCCATGGAAACTTCTCCAAGATCAACCACATACTGGGGCATGAAACAAACCAACAAATACAAAAAGATAGAAATAATTCCATGCATTTTATCGGACCACAATGTAATAAAGTTTAAAATCAACACTGGAAGAATCCCCAGTAATCATATTGTGCTGGATAGCTTTAGTGTCAACTTGACACACCTGGGTTGA